TTTCTTTCTTTCTCCCACCCCCTCTCTTCAAGTCTGTTTTTACACTCCTCCGTAGCTCCTCATGTGTTTCTTCCACCCTCCCCTTCTCCTCACACTCCTCTGTCTCTCTCTCTCACACATTCTCTCTCCCTCTCCAGCACTCCCTCTCACTTCTCTCCTCAGAAATACTGTCTGTGGAGCACCTCTTCTGTTTGCAGCAGTGAATAAGGCACCATGCCGGGACTGAGGGACCAGACGGCACTTTCAGTTCTCTGTCTGTCCCTGCTGGTTCGCTTCTGGACTGTAAACGGACTGACAGACCACAGCAGCTCAGAGATCAGCCACACAGCCTCAGAGCAACATGTGGAGAACAGAAGCGCAACAACTGGAGCAGGTATAAATGACAAAATAGCTGTTGCCTGTCTTGTTCTTTTTAACTCTGTTGTATAAAAATGTACTTGCACCTGTGCTTGGAGAAGCCACGTTTAGGAAGCCAACTTATTGAGGAAGAAAAACGCTGCTGAATGCCTATACAAATTAATATTTAGCTGACATGGTGTGACGAATTGAGAGGCTGAAAAACTAGTGACAGACTTTCATCATTGTGTTTCAAAAGAATGTTATGGCTTCATTATGCTTGCAACTCACATTCGTTCTGGCTATATTTTGGTATGTAATGACAGCTTTTCACAGTCCAATCAGTTCCTAGTGGATAAGCATTGTCAGGTTGATAATAACTTGTAATGATCCCTGAAAGCTTCAATAATATCTGTCTACTGGGTTTTAATTAGGTAAAAGGGGTCATTGGGACCCCTAATGTAAGAAACTATAAAATCAGTCTCAAGAGACCATAAGGGTTACCAAGGACAAATTTTCTGTGATTTGGAACAAAAGCACTTATAACTTAATATGCAGCTTTCCAGCAGCACACTGCATTTATGTTGACAGGTTATATCTTCCACATAGTTTACAGCACGTTTTAAGTGGTACTTTACCAAAGACAGGGATTCTTCTTGAAGGACGCTTGAAGGAGTTTTTCCAGTTACATGTGTAAAGCTCTTGTTGACAGTGGCAGATGCATACTCAATACTTGCACCTGTGCTTGGAGAAGCCAAGTCTAAGAAGCCAACTCACTGAGGAAGAAAACCGCTGCAGAACGCAAGTACAAATGAATATTTAGCTGACACAATGTGACGAATGGAGAAGCTGAAAAACTAGTGCTGTAGAAGTTGAAGACAGACTTTCATCCTTGAGTTTCAAAAGAACGTCATAGGTTCATAATGCTTGCAACTTGGATTAAGGAGTTAATTTAAGAGTTAATAGCAGCGCTGTGGCTGAGGTTTGGAAAATATGGTTGCTGGCAGGCTTTTGGTATTCAATAACACAGCATTTTTCCTTAAGAAGCTTTCCCTTCTTAAATGCAGGGAAGCAGACTCACTCTGACAAACTGGACAGATCAGTAAAATTACAAAAAGTAATGGGAAAAACAGAGGAACCATCCCAACATGGTTGAATTACCCTGTGGAACCCAATAGGAATGTATGTATTTACTATACATGTCTTAGACTGAAATATCTTTAATGTTATTGGTCATTCCCTAAGTAGTGAGCAGCATTTCACAAGATTGTCATAAAGGTTTCTGCCTTGGTGGGAGAGTAAGAGACTTTTGGTTCCTTTTTAGGACTTAGAGTCAACATGAAATCACTATTGACCTTATTCATTTAATATATGCTCCTGGTCTTATTGCGAAGGATTCATTAATGCATGTTATTCCAAAGAAGAAAAGTTTCTGCAATCTTTAATTAAAATGTAATAACTTGCTCTTCCTCTGAGATGACTTTGCTTTTTGCTGATGTCACTAAGGCCTCACAGGCTATTGGCTGTCATTAACCAATAGCTATGTAAGCATTATTTTGTCAAGCTCACATTCGTTCTGGCTTTGTTCTGCTATGTAATTCCAATTTTTCACAATCCAATAAAATCCAAGTTGGCAAAATCTTGTTGAATTTAGTTTTATTTAAAAATACGTCAAATGAGTTTTGAATGGGGTTTCACGTTGATTTTAAGACCCTTGGCTACTTGGCTCAGTTTTGGCCCAGCTGTGGCTCTTGATTCTGAAGATGCTCTAGACTTCAAACACACCTGTGCTCCAGCCCAGGCTTTGCTCCTATCTGTTAGCCCAGATGAGTTAGTACTCCTAGGCTGTCAGACTGAAAGGTGTCAGATGTTTGATACTTTGCCCATCTGTAAAATCTGATCTTGGAACTGACCTTCTGAAGTTGTAAAAGCAAACCACTTGGAAGGTAGAATTTTTTGGAAATTTCTCAACAGTGTGAAAACAGTTTCACCATTATGCATGGAAAGAAACCAGTGCACATGCTCTGGTGTTCATGTGGACAATGAGTTTGACTGACTGTGTTCCTGCTTTTCTTCCCATCATTTTTTGTCCTCTCTGGCAATAAAAAATGCAAAAAGGTCAAATAAATCTCCTGTTTTGAAACCCCCTTCACCGTTTCGAGCCAGTGTTTACTGACAGATAAGTAAACTTTTGCCAGATTACTCCTGAGGACTGGCGTTGTGGTCAAGCTCCGTGTGAGTAATGACTTCACAGCAACAGGCAAGGATGTTGCTTAAAACTTTCCCAGCAGGGATGAAAGTGCCCTTTGGAGACAGGACAGGATGAGTTTCAAGAGCCAGAGCGTCTGTGTCAACATATGAGGCTATGAACTCTAAATGGGACAGTCTGTGTGCATATTAGAGTGCAGCTTCAATTAAATATGAGTTGACAATGTGGAAATGAAGAGCCAAAAATAATTTATGTTTCTCTAGATCTTCTGCAAGTGAAGATAATCCCACTCTATGCAAAGATTCATGTTGGACAACACAAACGATTGTTATGCAAAGGTGAGAAGCCAGTTTAACCATAAAATAATAGTTCTGTTATCACTTACTCAGCCTCATGTTGTTCCAAACCCATTTGACTTTCTTCCATGGACAACAAAAGGTGAATTTTTGGAGAACATCCTGGCTACTCTTTCCAATATATTCAAACTGAAAGGGATTGGATTGGAACTAGCCAATAAAGCTCTGAATTGGACAACAAAAGTCAAATATGTTACAATGCCACATTTGAGACTAAATTTCATTGACATTAATGGCACCATACAGTATTTAATTTGAGTGCATGAGGGACATTTTAATTGAATGAAAATATAAATTTCAGTCTGTTCTTCATGCAAAGCTGTCAAATGACTTGGAATATAGTGCAAACGTATTTTGAAAAGAACGGGAAATTCATCCAAAAACTCTCCTTTTGTTTCCATGGAAGAAAGAAAGTCATAGGAGTTTGGCACGGCATGAGAATGAATAATAATAAAAAACATTAGGCAGTGGTTGGATATGCACTTGTTGTTGAACTAGCTCAGATGCTAATTCAGTTCAATATTTTTTCTCTGTTCTTTCTTAGTTGATGGGGGTGCAGAGGAGATCGCCTGGTTTTCTCCTAATGGTGAGAAGATTCTAACAAAACGTGACAATCTCGAGGTGCGCAGTCATGGCAATTCCTTGTCCTCTCTCATTGTTCTCAATGCCAATTTAAACAATGCTGGGATATACAAATGTGTGGCCAGAAATTGGGACACAGAATCACAAGCTACGGCCAAGCTGTACATCCTTTGTAAGTATTTACTACTATTAATATTATCATCACAAATATTATGACAAGAAATTAAGTCCAGTCTGCATTTTTATGATCAATTTTAAGCGTGTTTTGTCAGCAACTATTAAAATACTGAACCATTAACTTTTTTTATCCAAAGTGACTAACAATGCAACAAGCGGTTCATCATTATGAGGCAATAATACGAGAAGTGCTAGCAATGCAAAGCTTCAAACATTGCCCAAAATAGTACAAACTAGAAGAAGTATGGATATAAGAATAGCAAGAAAGCATATATTTAGTGTTTCAAATATGAATGGGTTAAAATGTGTTTACACTTAAATGTACTGCAAGTGATTGACATTTTGCTAACTTTGCTAACAAAGTTTTTGATGGATGTTCAGATATTAGGGACATTTATGCATTGTTTACAATTATAATAATAAAAAGTATAATCTAACTGTATAGAAGTAGAATAGAGTCAAACAGAGTTTAAAATTGACTGTGTGAAACATTTTCCTCAAAGATTTTTATTATTGTGTGTGCTAAGTCATTGTAATATTTCTTGTATTATTTAGAGAACTTTTTTCTCGTTTCAAAATCTGGAGCAGAAGTAACTAGATGGGCTGTTTGAATCATGCTTGAATTAGTGAGTTGTCCAGAACAATGTGTTGGAAGTTTGGAGGGAATTATCAAACTTGTAGCCAGACATCCTGGTAGACACTGATACATTCCTTTCTCTTTGTACGTTCCTGTTACAAGCATCCAAAAAGCATGGGTTGACTGAGGGAGCCAGTGTTGCAGTGGAGAAAACTAGGCTTTTAAGAAAGCCAGAATTGGTTGTTTCTTGGTATGGTTTCCCGAAACTTCTTGCATTTGATGAAGCAGCTCAAATCAATTAAGCCTGGCAGGATTTTGGTCATGACAGATTCAAACAAAACAGCTTTCTTTCAGCTGTGAAATATGTCTACACTCTTTAGAATCACTCTTAAAAAGGGGGTTTCTTCAATGATTTCCTCTTCAGATTATTCACATTGAGAAAAAAAATAACGATTATTTTAGGAACTGTTTTTCAGAGGTTCTTAAGGAAACCTAAAAACCCCAACATTCATTTTTAACATGAGAGAGGTTTAACTCACAGTAAAAACTGAAAGAAAGCTTAAACTAGCGGGGAAAAGTACTTCCAAATAAGACTTGCAATATACTTGGAGAATGTTTTAACTTAATCAATTTATGTAGAGTCAATAAAAGTGAACTGAATTATATATATATATATATACACACAATAGTTCTGTCTGGTCCTCGAATCTGATTGGCTGAGAGCCTTTTCCAGGAGTGCGATATTCAAGTGATATCGGAACTTCAACTGTTTCACCGTTTGTATCACTTCGTTTGTGGTATTGCTCACAGCGAGTTTCATAGTACGCCCAAATCTCCGAAAAATGTTGAAGCTAATTTTTACATTCTTGCCTAAAACACTGTTAAAACTACATTCCATTACACAAAAAATAGTATTATTTACAAAATTATAGTGGATTTGGACAAACATGAAATATTATGAAATAAACGTGAAACAAATGTGAAATTCGTGGCGATACTGGGTGAATATCTCATGGGTGGAAAGACCTCAGCCAAGGACATAGTGTGTATGTATATGTACAGTGGGTACAGAAAGTATTCAGACCCCCTTAAATTTTTCACTCTTTGTTATATTGCAGCCATTTGATAAAATCATTTAAGTAAAAAATTTTTCCTCATTAATGTACACACAGCATCCCATATTGACAGAAAAACACAGAATTGTTGACATTTTTGCAGATTTATTAAAAAAGAAAAACTGAAATATCACATGGTCCTAAGTATTCAGACCCTTTGCTGTGACACTCATATATTTAACTCAGGTGCTGTCCATTTCTTCTGATCATCCTTGAGATGGTTCTACACCTTCATTTGAGTCCAGCTGTGTTTGATTATATACATACATACATACATACATACATACATACACATACACATACATACATACATACATACATGCATACCCTGGAATCTAACCAATAGGATTAGCTTGCTGTTTTTGGAAAGTGACAGTTTTGTTTCCAATACGCATCAGACAGTTTGAGACCTTAAAGTAACCTTCAGTGAACTAGATGTGTAGTTATAATTTATGATTGAGGGATAAACTACAGTTTTCTCACTTGTCCAAAATTCAAGAGGGTTACTTTAGCTAAGTTGTGTTTTTTTCATTCCCTTTCATTTTCTCTGTTATTTAAGCAAAGAGAATGCGTCGAGAAACTGAGAGGGAAGGAAGAGGAAAACGACAGAAAGAGCCCAAGGCCACCAAGAAGCCCAAAGCTCCCAAGCCCACCAAGAAACCCAAGGGTGAGAAGAAGAAGAACAAAGGAGAGAAGGGTGGGAAGAAGAAAGGCAAGAAGAACAGGGAGGAGACCACCACGATCACCACCACCACCACCACTGTGGCTCCCACAACCACTGTGCCCATTGAGTATGAAGAGGAGTTTTATGGCCCTGAAACGGACCAGTACTGGGATGAAGGTTAGAAATCCTGTGTATTTTTGGTGCAGATTGGAGCAGAACAGTGACCGCCTTGGTTCTCTATAAGTGATTTTCCCACTTGTTTTCTCCATGGGGATTTCAAAACATTCTTCATATAGACTCCGCAACCAAACCAACCAGTTCAGAGATGAATCATAGCATTGCACACTCTGATTTGAAGTAAAACGTTATATGAATATCAAATTACATTGTTTTACAAATGAATTAACTCGCATACAATAGAAAATTGATTATATAAGTTTGTCACAATTTATGTTTGTATGGTAACAGCAGCTTCTCTAATTGGTGGATCTCTCTTCAGGAATTAGGGGGAGTGTAGTTCTTCACCTGGAATTCCGCTATTCAGCCATTGAAAAAAAAGAAATGAAGTGAATTGTAGCTTCTGCTGAAGCATTTTTAAACAACCTTGGAGAACATGCCGTGCCTGGAATAAGATCAAGATTTTGTTTTGTTTTACGTGATCTGGAATATGACTCATTAGAATCGACTAGCACTCACAAAGACTGTTTGGTATCCACAGAATTTCCTGCAGAGACAACAACAGCGGCAAAGCCTACAAACCCCCCGATTGAGAAAACCACAGAATTTCCAACAGACTTTCCTCCTGACACAGACGAGTATTCCCCACCTTACCCTGACTCATGTAAACAGAACATCACTCATGCCTGTGTAAATAAACACCACTTTTGTTCATCAGGATTAACATTTCCTTTAATTTACTGTCAGACGATGACTATTGGAAGGTGGATGAACCCACACCTACAACCTCAGTGATCGCTGGCCGTCCACCTGATGATGATGTTGATTACTGGGATGCCAGATGTGAGTCTTCCGATAATTAAAGTTAGTTAGCAACGGTCACAAATGACTGATTGTTCAGCTAACAAACCTTTTTTGGCAACAGATGAGGTGGCAGAAAACATGCCTTTCCCTGATGGCAAAGAGATCAGCTCTACTGACAATGACTGGCATTACACTACCACAGGTAAACTGACCATTCCTTCTAAACGCTGTGCCCTATTCAAAATAAAATGAGAATAAATTATGATTTATTAAATGTTCTTGTGCTACTTCTTTGTTTCACTATTATTGTAGACTGCTGCTACTTACTAAGTTTTAAAATGACATTGTTCTCATTATGTAATTGTGATTAGTTCTAAAACGTTAAAACAGACACAAAAAAAGTCGGTTTAACAGTCAGTTGGGCTAATAGGTTTCTGCTGTCTCAGAGTTGTTTTATTGCTATATTTTACATTACAAAAGAGTGAATTTAACCACCCTGTAAATCTGTGTGTGAACCAAATAAAACTGTTACCACAATATACACCCATCTCATGAAAGATCTTGTTTTTACACCATTTAAAATCCACAATGTCTAGTGTGGTTCTTACAAAAGACAGCGGACCAGCAGCGACAGACATTTAGCAAACATTTTATGAGTCATTAAAGTTTTTCTACTGTACTGTGAGTAAAACTCCCAAATTTAACCTGCCTTTCTTTTCTTTTCTGTCACAGAGGAGCCCACCGTCCCTCCATTTGAAAACAGCTGGTATGAAGAATATGAATATGGACATGGTACATACAGCTTTGATACTCTATTTTGAAAAGAAACAAACATACAGTGAGACGGCATGAGAGCTGATGGCCTCGCTCTCGTCTTAATGAGAGTACAGACAACGTGACCTGTCATTTCTGCACTCAAATAAACTCTTTCAGAGACGCAGAGGTGCCACTTGATGTCAAGCTGAACATTTTAAGTCATGTTGACATTAGATGAAAATTATAAATGGAAATATTTTCCAACCAGAAAACTAGTTGTCTTGCAGTATATCTCCTCCCCAACTAAATTTTATTTAAAAAAGAAAAGAAAAACAGTAACACTTTACAATATGGTTGTTAATATTAGTCAATGAAAAATACTAATAAAGCATCAACTAATCTTAGTTCATGTTAATTTTAACGTTTACTAATGCATTATTAAAATCAAAAGTTGTATTTGTTAATATTATTTAATGGATTTGAGCTAATATGAACTAACAATGAATAGTTGTACTATTAACTAACGTTAGCAAAGATCAATAAATATTGTAACTAATGTATTGCGCATTCTTAATTAATGTTAGTTGATGAATTAACTAATGTTAATTTATGATACCTTACTGTAAAAAAAAAAGTGCATGTATAAAACGCTTTTTACTTCTGTTACCAAGTTTTAAGAGGTAAGATGATATGTGGTGCATGGAGCACTTATCTTAGATAAATACAATTTTATTTGGTAACAAAACTATGTCCTGGAGTAAAAACGAATAATTTTAACGTTTACTAATGCATTATTAAAATCAAAAGTTGTATTTGTAATATTATTTAATGGATTTGAGCTAATATGAACTAACAATGAATAGTTGTACTATTAACTAACGTTAGCAAAGATCAATAAATATTGTAACTAATGTATTGCGCATTCTTAATTAATGTTAGTTGATGAATTAACTAATGTTAATTTATGATACCTTACTGTAAAAAAAAAGTGCATGTATAAAACGCTTTTTACTTCTGTTACCAAGTTTTAAGAGGTAAGATGATATGTGGTGCATGGAGCACTTATCTTAGATAAATACAATTTTATTTGGTAACAAAACTATGTCCTGGAGTAAAAACGATAAATGTCACCGGTTTCTGATTATGCAGGCAGAGCCTGTTTTTATTAGGGTATAAAATGGAAATCTGGTAAAAGCCTAAAGGACAAATGTGTCAGGAACCATTTTGATTTGATTATCGGATTCAATTTTTATCTAATCCACTTTAGTTGCACATATGACTTCCAGATAGAATTGTCTTAGATATTTTGAGTTTAGTATTTTGTTTGTCCTATTTTGCTTTAATGAATAAAATATGTACGTTTTGTTTCCAAAACCAAAACTTTGTTAAAAACTGATTAGTGACCTAAAAGCTCGGAATATGGATTATTTCTCATGCATTGTCATATGTAACTTTGTTTTAATTTTTAAAATTCAGTGATCTCAGACTTGAGAAACCATCTGTACTTAGTGTGTGACACTGAACTATTATTTAATGTGTTCAATTACACCCTTCGTTTCGGTTTTGTCAACAGAAAAGAAACTGGAAGAGGAGACGGAAAGAGAGAGAGAAAGAGAAAGAAAAGAGCAAGAGGCAAAAGGTACAGTGTTTTTACCCTCATATACTGAAAGTTGTCAGCTAATAAGAGTACTGTTGTACTGAACATGTAGACACTAAACTGCAGGTACTCACAGCCGTGCTGATGTTCAGAACAACAGCACAATTTAGAGGACCATAACTACTATTCAGTCTACCACAACAATAGTGTAGTAATGTATTAATTCCAGTAAGTGTATTAGACTATCATTGGTTTCAATCAGATACTAGGACATACAATTCACAAGCAAGATCATGAACTTTCTTTTGTTCTTTTATATTAATTCATTCCTTTTGTTTGGTTTGTCTTGAGCTGAACTGAAAAAAATACCTTACTGATGAAAAACATTAATGTGCATGGGCAACAGTCCTCAACAGGACTCTCTGCAATACAAACTATTTAAATAACACTGTTAGCATGAAAATCCCCTCTGTTTTGTCTTCCAGCTGCCCCACAATCTGCTTACACTTGATTATAGACTTTGTGGGAAATTACTGAATGACAAGCATTCATTAACAACAGAGAACGGACCCTGTTCCCATGAGCTCTGTTTTGGTTCCTAACAGACTGAACAATATCCTTTGCACTGACCTAAGGCAGTGGAGCAGGAATTAGGACAATTTTGATATGCAGGATATTGTAGAACAGGACATAACAACCAAAATTAGAAAGCAAGCTGAGAAAGAGATGAAGAAAGTTCCAGGTTCAACAAAAGTTAAGCTCCATCAACAGCATCTGTGGCATTACCACCAAAAATAAGCATGTGTCATTCCTAAATTTGTAAAAATGGGTCAAAAGAAAGGAAATTATAGTGATACTGTGAAATGTTTTTTTTTCCCTAAAAAATGATGTATGGCTAATACAGTACACCGAAATTGCTTTAGTATAGTAAGTGTTCATATTTAAACATTACTAATAATTTTAAAGTTATTCTTACATTTTTATTCTTACATTTACTAAAAATAAATAATAATTTTACCACAAAACGACATGTGAACCACGACCTGAAGTTTGACAATTTTAGAATGACACTAAAAGGGCTTGCTACTTGCTTAAAAAGTTAACGCTAACTTGTTTAAAGAACATTATCTTTGATTTGCGAATATATGGTCAAGATGTTAACTGGAAAACCATTATGTTACAATGACTGGTCTTTGAACATTTTAAGAACAATAATCTTCAGATTTACATGGCACAGACCTTTATTTCATCCTTCCATCTCTGGATTGTAAAGATAAATGTAAATGGAGCTCCAGAACATTCCAGAGGATTGTGAACGGTCTATAATGTTTGCCAAAAGCATAGCAGGATATTTGGTGTCAAATTCATGTGTGTATGTTTCTCTTCAAATTGCTCACCTGGTTGTTTGTGAAAGGTAAGTGTTATTTTTTCACTTTTCGCTCTTCAATGTAAAAAAAAAAGCAAGTCAGTGGCTGCCCATCTTTGAGAAAAAAAAGCATATCAAGGAACACAAAATTAATGCCCATGGTTCCTGATGATAAATTGAGGTCTTATGAAGTGAAATGATCGGTCTGTGCAAGAAACTGAACCTTATTTACAACATTATTACCTGTAATACAGAGACAAACAGTCTACTGCAGAGTGATGTCCTGTTTAAGAATGAATCATTCATTTGAACTTAGCAGGATATTTGGTGTCAAATTCATGTGTGTATGTTTCTCTTCAAATTGCTCACCTGGTTGTTTGTGAAAGGTAAGTGTTATTTTTTCACTTTTCGCTCTTCAATGTAAAAAAAAAAGCAAGTCAGTGGCTGCCCATCTTTGAGAAAAAAAAGCATATCAAGGAACACAAAATTAATGCCCATGGTTCCTGATGATAAATTGAGGTCTTATGAAGTGAAATGATCGGTCTGTGCAAGAAACTGAACCTTATTTACAACATTATTACCTGTAATACAGAGACAAAAACAGTCTACTGCAGAGTGATGTCCTGTTTAAGAATGAATCATTCATTTGAACCGGTTCTTTTTAGTGAGTTGAATGAACCATCTGAAACAGTTTGTGGTTCGAGCAGTACAGATCTACAAATTACTCAATCAAAACTCACTTTCATACAGGCCTGACAATCACGCTGACTAGAAACAAGACAAAATGCTGGAGTATATGGAGTCCCGTGATACTGGTTTTTGCCAACTCATTCAGGTTTATTTTGGGGTGAACTATCCCTTTAATTACCAGGAAGTTAAGAGATTAATCTTTATATTTCATGCTAATGAATCCATATCAATCAGTGGTGAACTTTGTGCTTTCTCCAATAATTTGTCTCCTCAGAAAGAGAAGAGAGGAGGCATGAGGAAGAGGAGGAGAGAGAACCCAGGATTTACAGACCTCCGCCACGCGTGTACAGAGAGCCTAAAAGTGAGTGGTGGGGACTCGGTTTAGGCATGTAGCCAGATGGGATCCATCACTTAATAGATAACATAGAGCAATACATACACTCAGAGCAAAATGACTGTGAAAAAATAAATAAAACACTAACATGCAACAAACTTATACAAGAGCACTCAAGTGATGTAATACTGAAGCTCTCCCAGCTCTCAGTTCTAGCCGCAGATCTTACCAAACAAATATGTTCCTTAAAGCAAAACCTCGGCGTTCAGTTCAGTGTCTTGTTTTTAGTGTCTTAGATATTACTGCTAATTAATGCTAACATAATTAATGCTAACAAACGTAACTGAAATAGTGATATCTTGATGAAGCCTTCATTAGATTCAAGTGAATATGAGACCTTAAAACATTTTGTAAGACTTTAGCTGTTTTTAAGTCATTACAGATACTGAATCCTGCCAAATCCTGCTCCAATTCCACAGCTGGTTCTTTTCAAAGGAAATTCCAAATGTCCGCCCTGCTCAAGAAACACATGCATGGATGTAGTCCTTCATCTTAAGGCGCATTACTCTGAATTAAGACAAGTGGCAGAACAAATTGTTTTGAAGTTATAAGTTAAGTTAAATATAAGTTGTAAGTTATGGTTGTAAGTTATGAGTTAAATATATGTTAAGTTCCATTATAGTTGTTGTTTCGTTACATCTTGATGACACAAGAATTTGTGCATAGTCTGTCTATATTGTTTCCATCATCTTGATGACACAAGAATTTGTGCATAGTCTGTCTATATTGTTTCCATCATCTTGATGACACAAGAATTTGTGCATAGTCTGTCTATATTGTTTCCATTTACCTTGCTAGTTAAAACTAATATAAATATATATGTACCTGTATATATTTATACATTACCATACACATTGGTGGCAGTTTTAAAATAAATAAAAAGTAATAATATATAAAAATATAATGATAAAAAGAACATTAAGCAAAAAGTATAAATAAAAAGATGTAAATTGAAATAATGTGGTGCCTTCAGAAAGTGTAGCACGGTGCTTAGTGAGAAAGCACAGATAAACTGATTTCAGTCTGTACTTCAACATATTGTGTGAACATGTTGTCCATATTAATTTTGTTCTCTGGTTTGCGATGTGTATCAGTTTGTCCTCCTCTGGGTATGGAGTCTCACCGCATAGAGAATGACCAGCTGCTGACTTCCTCTGTTTATCAACATCGCTATGGCTCACACAGAGCTCGTCTCAATATTCAGGTACGAACATATGCAGATAGTCACTCTGAAAATTAATTACTGGCAACTGAACTAAATGTGATGTGGTGTTTTACTGGTTCGTCTCACAGGCGTCTGGGGATGAAGATGATATGAATGGTGGGTCATGGTGTGCTAACTCTGAAGAGAAAGTCCACTGGATTGAACTGGACGCTCGCACACTAACAGAGTTCACTGGCGTTATCACTCAGGGTCGAGATGACCCCTTAGAGTAAGACAGACATTAGAAACCTTGGAGCCCTCGCACAGTAGACTACCTAAAGTCTACATCTACAGTCCTTGTAATTTTGTTTTGTTGTTTCAGGAGCGATTATGTGTCTTCTTACTATGTGGCGTTTAGTAATGACAGCAGAGAGTGGACTGTCCTTCATGATGGATATGCTGAATGGGTAGGTTACCATTATTTTCCTCTTCTTCTTTTGGTTGCCAAATCTTTCTGTGGTGCTTAAAAAGAGTTCACCCAAAAATGAAAATTCTGTCATCATTTACTCACCCTCAAGTTGTTCCAAAACTGTATGTTTCTTTCAGCTGAACACAAAAGAAGATATTTTGAAGAATGTACTGTAGGCAACCAGACAGTTACCTACAGTAAATTCTTACCTACATCAACAATGGTTTCTTTTTTTTGTTTCCCTTCTTTTTGCTCTCAGTTATTCTTTGGTAACTCCGATAAAAACACACCAGTGTTGTCTCAGTTTATGGAGCCGGTAGTGGCACGTTATATACGCATCTTGCCACAGAGCTGGAATGGCACCATGTGTATGAGGATGGAGGTTTTGGGCTGCCCAGTACCAGGTGAGAGACTCTTTAATGGTCTTTATATTTGTTTGTTTGTGCATTGTGTGCTGATAAAGTATTTCCTATTACTGATATTCCTGTCTGGATCCACATTGTTTAAATACCTGTTTATCAATAGTTTAGGGATATTACTCAATATTTTGCATTTGCTCTTTACTCAGATCCTTTAAGCCAGTACCATAGTCAGAATGAAGTGACGCATCGAGATGACTTGGACTACACCCATCACAACTACCTCGACATGGAGAAGGTGAAGGGAGAGTGCCAATGTCTGGAGTCTTAAAAGTTCATGAATGGAAAAAAGATATAAGAAATACACTAGCGTTTACAGTTAAGAAAATTGTGGCTGGCTGCTAGGGATTTCTAAGCCACAAGATTTGAGGTGTCACTGATATTTGTAGCACAAACCATTTGGGATGAGTGAATTTCAACAAACCGCTAAATGTGTGCTAATCGCTTCCAAATGTGACTTTTCTTATTGGCACAGCTCATGAAATCCATCTCTGATGAGTGTCCCAACATCACCAGATTGTACAGTTTGGGCAAGAGCTTTAAAGGTCTGGAAATTTATGCCATGGAGATTACTGATAATCCTGGGATGCATGAAACAGGTGAGAAACATCAGAGTAAATATAGAAGACACAGTATTATTATTCCAGTATGGTTACAGGTACTGAAACAAGCAATATAATTATGTTCATTATCCATTTCATGAGCATACCATCTTTCCTCAGGAGAGCCAGAGTTCAGGTACACAGCAGGTTATCATGGTAATGAGGCTTTGGGACGAGAGCTTCTTCTGATGCTTATGCAGTACCTGTGTAGAGAGTACAAAGATGGCAACCCTCGAGTCCGCCACCTTGTGGATGAGACACGAATTCATCTGGTGCCATCAGTTAATCCTGATGGTCATATGAAAGCTTTTGAAAAGGTGCGTTATAATGTATACAAAGGTTAAAAGTTAAATATGTGATGTTACTAGGTGGCCAGAAATTGCTAAAATAATGACTGCTTTCAAACTGATTTCCCAAAAATCTTGGATATCTAATATTAGTATTTAGTAATATTAAACTAATGCAGAAAAAGCTAAAGTTACAATGTTAGTCAATTCACCAGTTGAGCTAGTAAACAAGTACATGTTTGGTAAAGAAGTATGTCCTCACCAAATAGCTTATTACAGATAGCCCTGTTCCAAACTCAGCCACTGACTGAGCCAGAATTTGACATGCTGGACTGCTAAAATTAACAGAGCAATGTTTTTGAAGTGGCACATTTATTTCTTTAGGAATTCAACCATCATGGCTTATAGTCTTGCATAAAATCGTATAATTTTACATATTAGCTGTTAACTTCACTTTACCAGTAGTGTATCGTGCTAGCAATGCCAAGGTCATTCGCTAGTTAAGTGATTTATCAACTGAACAGGTTTAACTGATCAATAATAGATAAATTAGGATAAAACAGTCTACCAAATGTGCAAATAGAAATGGTGTTGTGACACTTTAATGTCATTAAAGTAATGTAAGCAATGTCACTTTGTTTCACAGGGCTCTGAGTTGGGCAGCTGGACATTAGGGCACTGGACTGAAGATGGCCATGACATATTCCAGAATTTTCCAGACTTAAATAACATTCTTTGGGATGCAGAAGATAAGGGCATGGTGCCCAAATTAATATCAAATCACCATGTACCCATCCCTGAGGGTATTCTGTCAAGCAATGGCTCAGTAAGTAAGGAAATAATGCTGTGTTATGTACAGTACATTTAATGGATCAACGCACCACTCACATACTCTTGTCTTGAATGCCTTGAACTTGGCCAATCAGATTATAGGACAGAAACCAACTGTTGTATAATATTCTTTATGTTCTACCTTTCAGGTTGCAGTGGAGACTCTTGCCCTTATCTCCTGGATGGAGAGCCATCCATTTGTGCTTGGTGCCAACCTGCAGGGTGGCGAGAGACTGGTGACATACCCCTTTGACATGCGCCGGCTCACCAAGGAGTCTGAGGAGATGGAGAAAAAACTAAACTCTAGAGCAAACAGACGTAAGCGACAGTATGAGGAAGAGGAAGAAGAAGAACCCAACCCTTACCTTCACACTGGATACCATCAGGAGAGCTACAGTGGCCCTCATGAAAACCATGCATATCATCAAGAGAACTATGGGTACCATCAAGAAAGTTATGGGTATCACCATCAAAACCAAGGATATCATGAGGAGAGCCAAGGATATCATGAGGAGAGCCAAGGATATCATGACGAGAGCCAAGGATATCATGACGAGAGCCAAGGGTACCATGATGAGAACCAAAGGTACCATCATGAGGGTCACTCTGAAGGATACCATGAGGGTTATCATCAAGAAGGATACTCAGAGGGGTACAGGGAGGGATATGGAGAAGGTGAACCAGAAGAGGAGATCAGAGTGATTGAGGACCAATCTATGTTCCGCTGGTTGGCCATATCTTATGCCTCTACTCACCGCACTATGACTCAAACCTATCAGGGAGGATGCCATACTGATGACCCAACAGGTGGGATGGGAATTGTCAACTGTGCCAAGTGGAAGCCCATTCCAGGAAGTGAGCATTAGGGATTTGTGTTGCACAATCATGTGATTGACCATTAAGTGGATGATTTAGAAGAGGAGTGTCCAATCCTGCTCCTGTGGGCCACCTTCCTGCAAAGATTAGCTTCCCCAGTCCTGCCAAATATCAGCTTCCCCAGTCCTGCCTGGAAGTTTCTATCCAGTTGTTAAGTCTGATGTTATGAGTTACGTTTCCAGGTCCAAAGGCTTTTTCTAATACCAGAAGCAAACAACAAACAGTGCTAATCTACACCACACTGAATTCTCATTCAGCCAGACAGACATGAATCTTTTCTGAATCAATAAAATATTGGTGTCCTTGACACTGTGAGTCTGGAGACTGCAGTATACACTGTGAATATCTTAGTAGCTTAGCGTAAAGGTGTACTATAAATGAATAGTGTTACTAACTGTCTGTTGAGAGACAGTATTCCAAACTGAAATGGAATAGAGGCTTGGAACCAGAAACCGTATTATCGAGAGGTCGATACACCACAACAAATGGATTAATCCGGAAGACCTTGATTAGCTTTCAGCTCAGGTTCGGGTGTATTTAATTAGGGTTGAAGCTACACTCTGCAGGAAGGTAGTCCTCCAAAAGCAGAATTGGACACCCTTGATCTAGAACAGTGGTTCTCAACCCTGTCCTGGAGTACCCCCAGCCCTGCACATTTTGTATGTCTCCCTCATCTATCACACCTGATTCAACTCATCAGCTCATTAGTGGAGACTGCTAGACCTGGAGTGGGTGTGTCAGATATAGGGAGACATACAAAATGTGCAGTGCTGGGGGTACTTCATGGAGAGGTTTGAGAACCACTGATCTAGAAGGATCTGTAGGATCAATTTGAATCTACACTGACACCCTAGAGACTCATTTTCTTTTTAATACCTATTCCTGTCCCTTTGTCTCTTGTAGGTATGAATGACTTCAGCTACCTTCACACTAACTGTTTTGAGCTGTCCATTTTCCTGGGCTGTGATAAGTTCCCTCATCAGAGTGAACTTTTAAGAGAGTGGGAGCATAACAAAGAGGCCCTGCTGACCTTCATGGCTCAGGTGAGCTACTGATATCAGTCGCAAGTGTTTAGAAAATCCCTTGTAGGTAAGACTTTAAGAACCCTGCACCAGTGTTGTAGTACTTGAATCTGGACAAAACCAGACTCGGACTCAAGTCCAAAACCATATTTTCTATGACTATTCGAGGCAAGATAATTCGAAAAAAGTCAAAAGTCAAAGTCATTGCCGAGTCCAAATGCTCCTAAAAATTTGGAATCGAGCTTGAGATTGACTTCAGTCTTGACTACAACACTGCCCTGCACAACCTTACGTTAACCATGGTCCTTTTCCCAGGTGCATCGGGGCATTAAGGGAGTTGTGAGGGATAAGGAGGGCAACCCTATTTCCAATGCCACCTTGTCTGTGGAGGGAGTCAACCATGACATTAGGACAGGTGAGATATTTTCTGTAGTTCTGAAAATTGTCCTGTTTTTAGGGTACTGAACAGTTTCAAAAAAGACTTCTACTCTTAGGTGAATCTGGAGATTACTGGCGACTTCTAAATCCCGGTGAGTACCGTGTAACAGCCCGAGCAGAAGGCTACTCCCCCTTCACCCGTCTATGTGTGGTAGGGTTCGACCCAGGCGCTACCTTGTGCAACTTTGACCTCAACAAATCTAACTGGGACCGCATCAAACAGATCATGGCTCTACATGGCAATAGACCCATCCGATTGCTGAGCAGTGGCAACAGGGGTAGTGGACAACGCTATACATACAGCACTAACCAAATCCCAAATTCTAAATTCAGTAACCAAATTCTTAACGGTAATGGTGGGGACAATAGAAGGGCTCGTCTTCGTCGATTACGGCTAATGAGAATCCGCCGCCTAAGGCAACAGAGGCTTCTAGCCAGCAAAACAACAACACCACCTACCACAACCATGATGACCACAACTACAGTTCCACTTACCATAGAGAGTACAACTCCCTGGTATGACTCTTGGCCACTTGGGGAAATTTTTGAAGAGAACACAACCCCACCAGAAGAGATTAAGTTGACCGATGCACTGGACTACAACTACAATTACAAGATAGATGATTATTAAGAGCAAACTACAGATCAAAGTTTTGCTCCAGAGATTGATTGTTTTGGACTAGTATAGGTCATTGTTGCCATGCTTTTGCGCCTTGGTTTGATTGGATCTGGAAGAGATATGAGCAAAGAGGAGTCACATGTAGAATCAAAGAATTCTGGCAACACTAAATAAGCTTTGCACAGTTTTGAAGTAATTACAGAAGATTTTTATTCCAGAATATAAATTTTCAAATTTACCTTGATTATTAACACTTCTTTTTCTGGTTGCAAAGCTGGTTGGAGGCATCACTTAATGGTTTGCAAAGACTTAGAAGTAGTAAGAATAATCATGCTGTGTATTCATGGCTAAACATCTGTACTATACTACCAAAATGTAACATAAAAACTTCTCATATGACCATCATGCCCACTGAGGGGAAATGAGAATGTTTTAATGCAAGAGAAGTGGTTGTATTACCATTTCTACCTTTCTCTCACATAAACAGTCAGTGTTTGTTGAAGGCAAGTGTACAAGGGAGATTTTCCCTCAAAGTTCCACCATGTTTAATGGTCTGTTCTAAAAGATGGTTTCTTTCCAGTAAATAAAGTCTTTTCATATTCACTCTGTTGTCGTTTTATCTGCATTACAGCGTCAAGTGCACATCAAGTCACTACCTTCATACTCTGTCATATTTAACAGTACACATTAGGGGTGACTAACACTTTACAATAAGGTTCAATTTGATGACATTAGAGCATGATGCTCATGATAGCTACGAACAACAGTTTTAAAAATGCAAGTACATGTTAACAATGTATAGAAATTAGCACTGAACAAGAATACATGCTGTACAAGCAGGGTAGGTTGGGGGATATAATGCCATTGATAAAGACAGTTAATTGCGGATTTCTCTGGATTTAATCATTGTTGGAAATTTGGAATGATGTAAGTACAACTCAACAAAATATATAAAACTGTTCTAGTGGTTTTTGGATGTTTTAATGCAAAAAATCTTACATGTTGTACCTTTAATGCAGGTCTTGACGTAAGACTCATGAGCCAATTACAAACGTTAATCACTTGGGTTTGACCATAGACTGTTGACCCAGCGGGCCATGAGGTCGGAACGAAATGTAGCCTCTGTAAATAGATCCACTCAACTAATAACAACTTCAGTATGCTAGAGGCATTTCCCCTTTCTTCAATGCTCGGTTTTAGTGTCTTCATACTTACCTGTAAGTTCTTTCTTTTTATTTGATTTAATTTTAGAAATGGGAAAGGAGAGGTACAAGAGTGTTTATATTTCACTAGATGTTGTATTTAGTTGTTTGGTATTCTATCTTAAACTGTTGCAATCTTCCATTGTTGTTTTGGTTGATCTGGTGAACAAGCACATGAAGACTCCGATCTCTATTATGTGAGAAAAACAAACAACGCATTTTCGCTCACAAGGCGTCAGATTACTGCGGCATATATTGAGTTGCACAAGCAAGTTCTTATACTTAAACTGGAACGTGAAGTGCACACTGTAGGCAGAATTTCGCTAGTATGTCTTAATACGTATTCGCATGCTTTACTTTCGCTAAACCAATGGCCTTCAAATCCGTGCGCTGAAGCGAAAGGCAGATTTACATGCGTGTGTGTATGCAAGCATGTATATACTTGTTTTCACTATACTTGTGAGGTCCAAATGACCTCACATTGTGAAATACCTTGGAACGGCTCGTTCTAACACGCCCCCACATGTCTACGTACTAGTATAGGTCATTGTTGCCATGCTTTTGCGCCTTGGTTTGATTGGATCTGGAAGAGATATGAGCAAAGAGGAGTCACATGTAGAATCAAAGAATTCTGGCAACACTAAATAAGCTTTGCACAGTTTTGAAGTAATTACAGAAGATTTTTATTCCAGAATATAAATTTTCAAATTTACCTTGATTATTAACACTTCTTTTTCTGGTTGCAAAGCTGGTTGGAGGCATCACTTAATGGTTTGCAAAGACTTAGAAGTAGTAAGAATAATCATGCTGTGTATTCATGGCTAAACATCTGTACTATACTACCAAAATGTAACATAAAAACTTCTCATATGACCATCATGCCCACTGAGGGGAAATGAGAATGTTTTAATGCAAGAGAAGTGGTTGTATTACCATTTCTACCTTTCTCTCACATAAACAGTCAGTGTTTGTTGAAGGCAAGTGTACAAGGGAGATTTTCCCTCAAAGTTCCACCATGTTTAATGGTCTGTTCTAAAAGATGGTTTCTTTCCAGTAAATAAAGTCTTTTCATATTCACTCTGTTGTCGTTTTATCTGCATTACAGCGTCAAGTGCACATCAAGTCACTACCTTCATACTCTGTCATATTTAACAGTACACATTAGGGGTGACTAACACTTTACAATAAGGTTCAATTTGATGACATTAGAGCATGATGCTCATGATAGCTACGAACAACAGTTTTAAAAATGCAAGTACATGTTAACAATGTATAGAAATTAGCACTGAACAAGAATACATGCTGTACAAGCAGGGTAGGTTGGGGGATATAATGCCATTGATAAAGACAGTTAATTGCGGATTTCTCTGGATTTAATCATTGTTGGAAATTTGGAATGATGTAAGTACAACTCAACAAAATATATAAAACTGTTCTAGTGGTTTTTGGATGTTTTAATGCAAAAAATCTTACATGTTGTACCTTTAATGCAGGTCTTGACGTAAGACTCATGAGCCAATTACAAACGTTAATCACTTGGGTTTGACCATAGACTGTTGACCCAGCGGGCCATGAGGTCGGAACGAAATGTAGCCTCTGTAAATAGATCCACTCAACTAATAACAACTTCAGTATGCTAGAGGCATTTCCCCTTTCTTCAATGCTCGGTTTTAGTGTCTTCATACTTACCTGTAAGTTCTTTCTTTTTATTTGATTTAATTTTAGAAATGGGAAAGGAGAGGTACAAGAGTGTTTATATTTCACTAGATGTTGTATTTAGTTGTTTGGTATTCTATCTTAAACTGTTGCAATCTTCCATTGTTGTTTTGGTTGATCTGGTGAACAAGCACATGAAGACTCCGATCTCTATTATGTGAGAAAAACAAACAACGCATTTTCGCTCACAAGGCGTCAGATTACTGCGGCATATATTGAGTTGCACAAGCAAGTTCTTATACTTAAACTGGAACGTGAAGTGCACACTGTAGGCAGAATTTCGCTAGTATGTCTTAATACGTATTCGCATGCTTTACTTTCGCTAAACCAATGGCCTTCAAATCCGTGCGCTGAAGCGAAAGGCAGATTTACATGCGTGTGTGTATGCAAGCATGTATATACTTGTTTTCACTATACTTGTGAGGTCCAAATGACCTCACATTGTGAAATACCTTGGAACGGCTCGTTCTAACACGCCCCCACATGTCTACGTCACAATGTGGGAAGATTTGCATAACGCCGCCCTAATATTCACGCGAAAAAGAAGGCGTGACTTTTATTCGCGCTGTAGTATTGTTGTTGCCGCCGCTGCCATGTTGTGGAGATGCTGTGTATTTCGTTGTGAAAGCGAAACTACTTTGTTTGGCCTTCCAAAAGAGGACTATATCCACTTCATCATGCCTAAAGCTGATCCATGCTGGTTGCTGAGGAAATACATCAACTTCACGCTGTGGATCGCCGGATCGGCTTTCACCGTGGACGAAGCGGAGTCCAGCCCGGGGTCGTCACATGTGGTTGCCGCAAGTCCGACGGACGCTCCTTCGTCGAATCCGCCGGCCGCGCCGTTCTCAAGCCCGCCCACCTCTGCTCACTCGAGCCCTCCGGCCGTTCCTCCCTCAAGCTCTCCGGCCGTTCCTCACTCTAACCCGCCGTGTGAAACTACTTTGTTTGGTCTTCCAAAAGAGGACACGACTAGAAATCAGTGGTTAAGTTGTATTTACAAATCAGATGTGTGCAGCACATTTTATGGAGGACTGTTTCCTGATCCTGGAAGAGTAGACTACAGTGCCGGCTGTTCTGACTCACAGACTGTAAGTACGTTTACATATTTAAAGGATTTGCCACTGATTATTCAAACACGAGTTTTGAGCAGTGTAGAGTAGCGCTTGTTGTTTGTCATTTCTCCGATCACAAATGCAGACATGGTTTTATGTTTACGCGGCGCGATGCAACGCAACGAAAAAAAGACAGTATAAGTTATTATAATTCGTAATTATGTCCCCACTGGATGCAACGAATGCCTCGTTTATAATGGGTTTTAATGTTTTTGTCTCGTCGCTCCGGCCGGGACAGGGCATCACAGTATGGTAAGGGCGTAACATTTCAGTCACACGCTTGAGGTATTCGGCCAATCACAATGCACTGGATAGCTGGCCAATCAGAGCACACCTCGCTTTCCAGACTGATGAGCTTTGTAAAAATCGACGCGTTTCAGAAAGGCGGGGCATAGAGGAGAAACAATAATGTACAGTATGTGGAAAATAATGTGTTTTTTGAACCTTAAACCACATAAACGCATTTCATTACACTAAATACACCAAATAATGTTATTTTTAGCAACATCATGTGGCCCCTTTAAATTGTCATGAGTTAACTCAATACATATGTGCTGAAGGCATACAAACACACCATCAGTTCTGCTTAAAATTTGTTGACTTTTGCTCACCTTGTTACTAATGACAAATGAAACCGGAATCTTATCTTTTCAGAGACTGTAATTACATGTGATGTGTTTGTTTAGTGTCTCAGTTGTGGGAAGATGTTGTATTGTCACACAATTATTTATTTGTTGTATATTGTATGCAAAGAAGTGTGTGATGTAATGATGCTTTTCTTTTATTCAGACTCTGGGGTGATCCATGTGCAGTCAGCAAACTGTGGCCGCACACGCAGCAAAATTTGCAGCATTGGACGACCCCAAAGTGAAACATCTAATGTTCAGTGTTCAATAGATGTCCCTGCGGTGTCTAAACAGTAGCAATCTTTTTCTTTCAAACTTCAGGCTGAAGAATTATTAAAATTGAGTCCTTACTCTGTGGCATTGCACTGATCAGCCCACAACATTAAAACCACCTGCATGATGTCCAGTGTTGGGCTAGTTACTCAAAGAATGTAATATGTTACTCATTACTAGTTACTCATTTAAAAAGTAATATTGTTACTTTACGTATTACTGTCTGGCAACAGTAATTAGTTACACTACTAGTTACATTACTTTTTCTTCACGCCCCACAGAAGTTGTAACTGTGTTGAACTAAATTTTCCACATAAAATTCTAGTGGTTGTTAGTGACATTCAAGTAGAAGTGTTGTATTAATCTCATTAGTAAAGTAGAGCCACAACTTGCACAACATTGTTCAGATCATCTTTTTTCCTGACAAAATCAATATAATGCAATATTTCTATCTGCTGAATGTAAGCTTTTCCATATTCCAACCTTGCCTGCAGCACTGGGGACATCATATGCATGTGCGAGTCAAGAAAATTATGAAAATTAATTATTTGTTATTATTTAATAAATTATTTCATATTTAATAAATTATTTGATTGTTGGATTTTAAATTAGCGTGATTGAGGCATCAAAAGTAACTAAACTGTTTTATGGATGGTAACTGTAATATGAAATCTTATTAGTACGGTAATTAGTTACTGCAAAAAGTATTATTATTACAGTAACTAAGTTACTAGTTACTGCCCAACACTGACGATGACATATAGCAAGGTCCCCCTTGTGCTGCTAAAACATCTGATGCGTTGAGGCACGAACTCCACAAGATACTTTTAACTGCTCATTTTTCCTGCTGCCAACACATGAAATTCAAGAATGGACTGCTCACTTGCTTCCTAATATATCATGTCACGTTAAAGATGCACAAAGATGCATTTAAAAATATGCAAGTTACTTTTTAATGGAATGTAATCATTGTTTACATACTGGATGCTTTGCAGTTGTTACACATGTTAAATTTGTAACTTTGTAAATTTGAACTGACTGGCTGTGTTTACACTGAGTTTATTAAATTGACACCATTGCTGCATCTGAATATGCCTACTTCCATACTATAAAGCAGGTGAAAAACGGTACATGGAAAAGAGTATGTCCAAATTTATAGTATTCAAAAAACAAAAAAAACACCGGTAGGTGAAAAGTACCCAGATGACCTACTACTTATGTGATTCTAAAGTGTGCATCTGATGGTGCCACAGGATAGGAGTGAATGGTAGTGATGTGACACAACTGATGCTGCAGGTCATGTGACAGTAACATGACAGATGTATTCAGATGAATAAATGTATACTACAATTTAAGGGGGTCTGAATACTTTCCGTACCCACTGTATAATACATATATATAATACACTGTAACATCATTAAGTAATATCGTACGACTAGACACAATGCGTTTTCAGGCACAGCTCATATTTTTACTTTGGGCATCTTTCCTACTGTAGTTGTTGGAAACAACTAAGCTGTTCAAAAAATGAAGTATGGTCACTTTGACTGTTGTTGGTTATGTTGACTCATGTTTCCAAACATCCAGTTAGGACTGTCTTTATCCACAGATGTGATGGACTGAGAGAGTGTGAGATAAACACTCGAGGACTGGAACCAGATCCATGTTTTGGCACCTACAAGTACTACACTACCAACCACATTTGCATCCCAGCAGGTTTATTTCTTTTTCTCTCTCTCTTCCATTTCCTGTTCATTAAAATGTCCTTTTCTGTGCAAGTCTGTAACAACCGCCTTCTTCCAGAAACAAGTGTGACTCGTCAGGATGGATACAGTTACTTGAAATGTGGTGAGCAATTTGACTTTAACTTTGTTTCAATAGATTAGATCACAAATGCATAAATGCTATTCTTTTATCTCCATGTAGAAGACAGTAGGATTCAGATAAATACTGCAAACTATGGACGTACAGATAAAATCATCTGCTCTGAAGGACGTCCATCCAGTGCGCTCCAAAACACCAACTGCTATTCACCCAATGCACTGGCTCCTGTGTCCAAAAGGTAGATGGATGCTGTATGTAATTTCTGCTGTACCTCATTGTCTTTAATAATGACTAATGTAAACCTCTGTTTTTTTTACATAAAGCTGCAATGGTCTGGAAAGTTGTGAGGTGTTTGTGACACATACAGTCTTTACTGATCCCTGCGTTGGCATATACAAGTACCTCGCGATCTCTTATCCATGAGTGTCTGTTAACCTCCCTACTTCCTATTCATTTCTGTGTTAAGTGTTTAGAACAGGGGTGTCCAAACTCTGTCCTGGAGGGCCGGTGTCCTGCAGAGTTTAACGCCAACTTGCCTCAGCACACCTGCCTAGAAGTTTCTAGTATGCCTAGTAAGACCTTGATTAGCTGGTTCAGGTGTGTTTAATTGGGGTTGGAGCTGAATTCTGCAGGACAGTAGCCCTTCAGGAGCATGATTGGACACCCCTGGTTTAGAGGAATTAAAATGCCAGCCTTATTTATGAGAGAACATCTGAGTTCAGAGTTACTTGTCTCCTGTTTACCAGCAGCTCACAAACCAGTCAAGACCAGACATGCTTTTCAAAGGCGTTATCATAGTACACCTAAGCCTGTTTTATTTGAAAGATTGTGGTGTTCACTTTACTAAACTGCTCTTGCATCCTCTGTGTTCTGTAGGTTCAAGTGTGATCTGCGAACATGCAAATAATACCCTGATGTGTGGTGTGTATTATGCTACATGAGCGCTGCTTATTTCTCTTTGAGAAAGTAGTATTATTGTTTATAGCAAAATTGCTAAATTTGAGCCGACTGCCACAAATCATAATGTATCACTACTTGTTTTTTCATCCAAGAAATTTAACATTTTATTACTAAAGCTGAATGTTATTTTTTTTTTTAGATCAAGGGACTGTCATACGCATTCACAGCGCTAACTACTGCCGAACTGACAGCAGCACGTGCTGTACTGGACGACCTGCTTCTCAGCTTGCCAAAACTGACTGCTACGCCTCAAACTCCCAGGCAATGGCTACTTATGTGTGAGTGTGCAAGCAACATTTTTTTTTACACTTTTCACATGTATTCAACATCTTAGCTGATTTTTCTGGATTTTCAGCTCCTAAATGCCCAAAATTCTTCTAAACACAGTAAAAACCGACCCCCACCACCCTCCAGACTAAGTCAGTTAAGTTTATGTGTGGTTGGGTTTTTATTAATTTTTTTACTTTTTATTTTACCAGAAAATCTCATTGAGATTAAAATCTTTTACAATTTGCTTATTTAATTTTTGCTGGTGCAAAGGAAAAAATAGCTGCTCCCTAGTCACCTCCAATGGCGTCTTCTCAGCTCCATGTACTAACACATTCAAGTATCTGTACGTCTCTTACAGCTGCATACATAACTGTAAGTGTTACTGTGTACAGTGAAATTGCTCACTTTTCTCTTTTATGGTTATTCGGGTTACTCCTGCATCAGGCTAGATTGACACTCTTCATGGTGGCTTTCTCTTCATGGAGGCTGATGTTGTGGATTTGACTACTTCAGACCAGATTTGATTAAATGAATTTTTCTGAAACTGAAACTAAAGCCCCAATCTTCCTTGCAATAAATGCTTTGAAGATGTCTGTGCATGAAGCAGTGCTTTCTAGTCTGCAGTATGACTGATGGTGCATGGGATGGTTTATCATCAATTAAAACAAATGCCATTAAATATAGCCCAACACTAAATGTGAGCACACCAGGTACAGTCAGGCTGGTGATTAATAGAGTGCATTAGAACTGGCAGATGGAGAACACAACATGGCTATTGCACTTTTACATGATGGTCTCTGTGGAACCATCATGGATATTTTCCAGTTGGTGGGTTGAGATTTTTTTTTCTATCACTTTTCCCAATTTTCTAAACTCATAAAGCCTACACTTAACCTAGCGCCCAGTGGGTTAGAGCAAATTGAATAAACCACTTTAAAGAAATAAATAAATAAAAAATGCCCATCCTTGGGTGCGTTTCCCAAAAATAACTATGGTCGCTCATGTTGAGCAATATCAAACTTAAAGGTGGCATGAAACAGAAACTAGGATTGTCTTTTCTTCCCTGTTGTGACATACCCAGCTTCTCAAACAAAAAGTAAATGAAGGATGGGACTTTTGTCCATTTGATCATTGTATTGTTGTGATCATCTGATGAGCGTGAAAGGTGCTGCAGGGGAAGGATTGCTGAAAGTCATCTATTGGTAAAACCTATTGCCCAGGGAGGGGATGTTAATCTTTTCATTTTAAAGATTACAATGACAAAAGAGATCTGCATGGATAAATTCAATATAAGTTTATTTGTATAGCGCTTTTCACAATACATATCGTTTCAAAGCAGCTGCACGGAAAATGCATGTTTCAATGTTATAATCAAGAAGTATTCTATTCAGCCAGAGGCGAGTATATAAATGTCAATATGGTAGTATTTTATAGCTATAAAATATGTATATATGGTCAGTAAACATCATGTATTCAATTAAGCAGACTTAATTATAACTTAACTTATGACTTAACATGTTACAGCAATGATTACAGCTTGTGATCGTTATAAATCTAAGGATAATATTAGACAGTTGTATGTTAATCTAAAGCTGGCGTCATTGGAAGTCTTAGCAAGTGATCTGCAATTTCCCATTTTGCAAAGTCAACATAAATAATTTATAATAAATGCTGAAACATTCCATAAAAAAAAAAAGTTGTCCATTTTGACTTTAACTTTAAACTTAGAGAGTCATATGAATAGTAATCCTGTGGTTTGTTTAGGCTCTTACTAAACTTCTATGCAAAGCAACAGGGGTGAAGTCAATGTGGTCACCACAATTTCCTTATATCTACTGAATCAAATGAATATAATTATTAAATCTGCCCAACCAAGCTTAAAATGAAGAGGTGAATGTATTTGAGTTTGTGATTCAGAGATCATCACAATCACACTGACACTCTGTCCTGCCCTCGCCAACAAACTGAAGCCCATTTAGTACGATATAACACAGTTCATCTCATCAGACAGATCCTCCTCAAAGCGTCCGGTCGCTTGTCCTGCCCTTCCTCGACTTATAAGGTCAGTTGCAGCACTCTCAATTTCATCAATAGTCATGTGACAGGCATCTGCAATTTCCCGCTTTGCAAAGTCAACAAATTTGGGGTCTTTGGCATATTGGCCCAAGCCTTCAGAGATCAGGATCTAAATAAAAACAAAACAGAAAGACAAAGAGCTTGACCGGATTTACATTACAACCATCTGAAACCCACTGACTACACACAGCTGATCTACATTTCACTATTTATGTGTCTGCTTAAACCAATTAGTTGCACCAGTAATAATTTAGGATATGCCATATCAAATAGAGTGCAAAAAAAATAGTGCATTTTTTAAATGAAACCATCTATTAAACCCTATATCCAAAAATAATGTGTTTTGAGTATGTGACTTGTCACGGTGGATACAGTTATTTGAAATGTGGTGAGTGATTTTTCCACATCTCTCACATTGTTTCAAGAAATGGAGTCACGTGGATTACTTTAAGGACTACAATTTTTTTATCTCCATGTAGAAAATGGTAAGATTCAGATAAATACTGCAAACTATGGACGTACAGATAAAATCATCTGCTCTGAAGGACGTCCATCCAGTGAGCTCCAAAACACCAACTGCTATTCACCCAATGCACTGGCTCCTGTGTCCAAAAGGTAGATGGATGCTGTATGTAATTTCTGCTGTACCTCATTGTCTTTAATAATGACTAATGTAAACCTCTGTTTTTTTTACATAAAGCTGCAATGGTCTGGAAAGTTGTGAGGTGTTTGTGACACATACAGTCTTTACTGATCCCTGCGTTGGCATATACAAGTACCTCGCGATCTCTTATCCATGAGTGTCTGTTAACCTCCCTACTTCCTATTCATTTCTGTGTTAAGTGTTTAGAACAGGGGTGTCCAAACTCTGTCCTGGAGGGCCGGTGTCCTGCAGAGTTTAACGCCAACTTGCCTCAGCACACCTGCCTAGAAGTTTCTAGTATGCCTAGTAAGACCTTGATTAGCTGGTTCAGGTGTGTTTAATTGGGGTTGGAGCTGAATTCTGCAGGACAGTGGCCCTTCAGGAGCATGATTGGACACCCCTGGTTTAGAGGAATTAAAATGCCAGCCTTATTTATGAGAGAACATCTGAGTTCAGAGTTACTTGTCTCCTGTTTACCAGCAGCTCACAAACCAGTCAAGACCAGACATGCTTTTCAAAGGCGTTATCATAGTACACCTAAGCCTGTTTTATTTGAAAGATTGTGGTGTTCACTTTACTAAACTGCTCTTGCATCCTCTGTGTTCTGTAGGTTCAAGTGTGATCTGCGAACATGCAAATAATACCCTGATGTGTGGTGTGTATTATGCTACATGAGCGCTGCTTATTTCTCTTTGAGAAAGTAGTATTATTGTTTATAGCAAAATTGCTAAATTTGAGCCGACTGCCACAAATCATAATGTATCACTACTTGTTTTTTCATCCAAGAAATTTAACATTTTATTACTAAAGCTGAATGTTATTTTTTTTTTTAGATCAAGGGACTGTCATACGCATTCACAGCGCTAACTACTGCCGAACTGACAGCAGCACGTGCTCTACTGGACGACCTGCTTCTCAGCTTGCCAAAACTGACTGCTACGCCTCAAACTCCCAGGCAATGGCTACTTATGTGTGAGTGTGCAAGCAACATTTTTTTTTACACTTTTCACATGTATTCAACATCTTAGCTGATTTTTCTGGATTTTCAGCTCCTAAATGCCCAAAATTCTTCTAAACACAGTAAAAACCGACCCCCACCACCCTCCAGACTAAGTCAGTTAAGTTTATGTGTGGTTGGGTTTTTATTAATTTTTTTACTTTTTATTTTACCAGAAAATCTCATTGAGATTAAAATCTTTTACAATTTGCTTATTTAATTTTTGCTGGTGCAAAGGAAAAAATAGCTGCTCCCTAGTCACCTCCAATGGCGTCTTCTCAGCTCCATGTACTAACACATTCAAGTATCTGTACGTCTCTTACAGCTGCATACATAACTGTAAGTGTTACTGTGTACAGTGAAATTGCTCACTTTTCTCTTTTATGGTTATTCGGGTTACTCCTGCATCAGGCTAGATTGACACTCTTCATGGTGGCTTTCTCTTCATGGAGGCTGATGTTGTGGATTTGACGACTTCAGACCAGATTTGATTAAATGAATTTTTCTGAAACTGAAACTAAAGCCCCAATCTTCCTTGCAATAAATGCTTTGAAGATGTCTGTGCATGAAGCAGTGCTTTCTAGTCTGCAGTATGACTGATGGTGCATGGGATGGTTTATCATCAATTAAAACAAATGCCATTAAATATAGCCCAACACTAAATGTGAGCACACCAGGTACAGTCAGGCTGGTGATTAATAGAGTGCATTAGAACTGGCAGATGGAGAACACAACATGGCTATTGCACTTTTACATGATGGTCTCTGTGGAACCATCATGGATATTTTCCAGTTGGTGGGTTAAGATTTTTTTTTCTATCACTTTTCACAATTTTCTAAACTCATAAAGCCTACACTTAACCTAGCGCCCAGTGGGTTAGAGCAAATTGAATAAACCACTTTAAAGAAATAAATAAATAAAAAATGCCCATCCTTGGGTGCGTTTCCCAAAAATAACTATGGTCGCAAGTTGTTGTTACCAATAGAGTTCAGTGGAACTTACCACCTAGTTGGCTAACGATACTTCTGGGAAGTGCCACCCCTGGTTGACTGATTGACTGGAGCACACAATATTTCACCACATCAGTTTTTCTTGCCAATGTGTTGTTTTGGCTGAATATTCTGGTTGGGTGGTTTAGTAAAGTATCAGTATTGAATATAAAGAACACTGATCTATTCGTCATGTTGAGCAATATCAAACTTAAAGGTGGCATGAAACAGAAACTAGGATTGTCTTTTCTTCCCTGTTGTGACATACCCAGCTTCTCAAACAAAAAGTAAATGAAGGATGGGACTTTTGTCCATTTGATCATTGTATTGTTGTGATCATCTGATGAGCGTGAAAGGTGCTGCAGGGGAAGGATTGCTGAAAGTCATCTATTGGTAAAACCTATTGCCCAGGGAGGGGATGTTAATCTTTTCATTTTAAAGATTACAATGACAAAAGAGATCTGCATGGATAAATTCAATATAAGTTTATTTGTATAGCGCTTTTCACAATACATATCGTTTCAAAGCAGCTGCACGGAAAATGCATGTTTCAATGTTATAATCAAGAAGTATTCTATTCAGCCAGAGGCGAGTATATAAATGTCAATATGGTAGTATTTTATAGCTATAAAATATGTATATATGGTCAGTAAACATCATGTATTCAATTAAGCAGACTTAATTATAACTTAACTTATGACTTAACATGTTACAGCAATGATTACAGCTTGTGATCGTTATAAATCTAAGGATAATATTAGACAGTTGTATGTTAATCTAAAGCTGGCGTCATTGGAAGTCTTAGCAAGTGATCTGCAATTTCCCATTTTGCAAAGTCAACATAAATAATTTATAATAAATGCTGAAACATTCCATAAAAAAAAAAAGTTGTCCATTTTGACTTTAACTTTAAACTTAGAGAGTCATATGAATAGTAATCCTGTGGTTTGTTTAGGCTCTTACTAAACTTCTATGCAAAGCAACAGGGGTGAAGTCAATGTGGTCACCACAATTTCCTTATATCTACTGAATCAAATGAATATAATTATTAAATCTGCCCAACCAAGCTTAAAATGAAGAGGTGAATGTATTTGAGTTTGTGATTCAGAGATCATCACAATCACACTGACACTCTGTCCTGCCCTCGCCAACAAACTGAAGCCCATTTAGTACGATATAACACAGTTCATCTCATCAGACAGATCCTCCTCAAAGCGTCCGGTCGCTTGTCCTGCCCTTCCTCGACTTATAAGGTCAGTTGCAGCACTCTCAATTTCATCAATAGTCATGTGACAGGCATCTGCAATTTCCCGCTTTGCAAAGTCAACAAATTTGGGGTCTTTGGCATATTGGCCCAAGCCTTCAGAGATCAGGATCTAAATAAAAACAAAACAGAAAGACAAAGAGATGCTTGACCGGATTTACATTACAACCATCTGAAACCCACTGACTACACACAGCTGATCTACATTTCACTATTTATGTGTCTGCTTAAACCAATTAGTTGCACCAGTAATAATTTAGGATATGCCATATCAAATAGAGTGCAAAAAAAATAGTGCATTTTTTAAATGAAACCATCTATTAAACCCTATATCCAAAAATAATGTGTTTTGAGTATCATATTTGATACATCAGGCTTTTATGGCTCATATAGTATCGTTTAGTGAGAATATGAAGCTCGTACTTGAGGAATATAACACCTCAGTTTTATTCAGAGGCCCAAATTGAGTGAAAATATGCAAATTGGTGCAGAAATTCTAATAGCTTGTAAATCAACGAGATCTTCATAACAGTAACTTACATAAAGTCTACTTACCTAAAATGCATATGAATATCAGTTGTCACTCTATATCTTTCAATAATATGTTAGATGTTGTTTAAATGCTTAGTTTTATGATCAGAATTCTGTAGTTTTCAACATGGGAGTCGATAATGATTGTGAGATGAACAAATGTACATTAGATGAACAAACATTCCTCAAAAGACTGATAGATCATATTTGATACTAACATTTGAACATGACTTACAGTGGGTACGGAAAGTATTCAGACCCCCTTAAATATAACAAAGAGTGAAAAATTTAAGGGGGTCTGAATACTTTCCGTACCCACTGTACATCACACCAGTTCGTTCTTTCATTGTAATTAATAGAAAAAAAGTATTTTTTATTGTATTTTTTTCCGGAGAGTTTGCTTTGGTAAACAAAAGCTTCAAAACTCTCGAAACAAACTCTGTTTTGGTCTGATTTTGTTTGAAATGACATTGTTCTTTGATTTTGCTTGAAGTATATCAGGGCCTTGACAGCATAGATATGAAAAGGTAGATGCCACATTCAACCGCTCCAGACACGTCGATGTGTCCGCCATCTTGCAACGGTCTTGTGTCGTCACTCACAGTGAAAATGAATTGCTGCGTCACAATTCGCATACTATCTGTCCTAAATAGTATTTGAAATTAGAATTAGTGTGTCCCAAATCATAGTATGTTGAAATGAGTATTCCAAAGGTTTACTATTTCCGGTAGAAATTCAAAGTGCTGATCCGTACACACTCTTAACCAATGGCTGATATTGCCCACAACCCATTGCGCGTTGGATGAGGATTGCATATAACATAATATAATGCATATAACTAAGCAAGACGCAGTTATGACGAAGTAGTCTGTCCCAAGGCTTGCATACTATTCTGCTACATACTCAAAAGTATGTACTTTTTCTACACAGAAAGAGTACATATTTTAAGGGCATAGTATAAGTAGGAGAACTGGGACGCAGCAACAACAACGGCCCATAGAAACAGCCGATAATGATGCATCTACGTATACATATCAATGCATGACAGTGCTTGTTTTGGTGCATTATGGGTAGTCAAACATGTTGTGCTCACCTATCATTTGAGACTGCACACTGAGGCTCCTCCTTGCTGACACCGCCTTGCTCTGTAGGATATGGCATCGCTGTGACTCCTCCTCCCATCACTCCCCCTTCTCCTCCTGTGACTCCTTCACCTCCACCTGTGACTCCTCCTGTGACTCCTCCCAGAGTGATGACTCCTCCTGTGACTCCTCCCGGAGTGATGACTCCTCCTGTGACTCCTCCCGGAGTGATGACGACTCCTGTGACTCCTTCACCTGGTTTATCTTCCAACAAGACAATGACCCTAAGCACACAGCTAAAATAATGAAGGAGTGGCTTCACAACAACTCTGTGACTGTTCTTGAATGGCCCAGCCAGAGCCCTGACTTAAACCCAATTGAGCATCTCTGGAGAGACCTAAAAATGGCTGTCCACCAATGTTTACCATCCAACCTGACAGAACTGGAGAGGCTCTGCAAGGAGGAATGGCAGAGGATTCCCAAATCCAGGTGTGAAAAACTTGTTGCGTCTTTCCCAAAAAGACTCATGGCTGTATTAGTTCAAAAGGGTGCTTCTACTAAATACTGAGCAAAGGGTCTGAATACTTAGGACCGTGTGATATTTCAGTTTTTCTTTTTTAATAAATCTGCATTAATGTCAACAATTCTGTGTTTTTCTGTCAATATGGGGTGCTGTGTGTACATTAATGAGGAAAAAAAATAACTTAAATGATTTTAGCAAATGGCTGCAATATAACAAAGAGTGAAAAATTTAAGGGGGTCTGAATACTTTCCGTACCCACTGTACATCACACCAGTTCGTTCTTTCATTGTAATTAATAGAAAAAAAGTATTTTTTATTGTATTTTTTTCCGGAGAGTTTGCTTTGGTAAACAAAAGCTTCAAAACTCTCGAAACAAACTCTGTTTTGGTCTGATTTTGTTTGAAATGACATTGTTCTTTGATTTTGCTTGAAGTATATCAGGGCCTTGACAGCATAGATATGAAAAGGTAGATGCCACATTCAACCGCTCCAGACACGTCGATGTGTCCGCCATCTTGCAACGGTCTTGTGTCGTCACTCACAGTGAAAATGAATTGCTGCGTCACAATTCGCATACTATCTGTCCTAAATAGTATTTGAAATTAGAATTAGTGTGTCCCAAATCATAGTATGTTGAAATGAGTATTCCAAAGGTTTACTATTTCCGGTAGAAATTCAAAGTGCTGATCCGTACACACTCTTAACCAATGGCTGATATTGCCCACAACCCATTGCGCGTTGGATGAGGATTGCATATAACATAATATAATGCATATAACTAAGCAAGACGCAGTTATGACGAAGTAGTCTGTCCCAAGGCTTGCATACTATTCTGCTACATACTCAAAAGTATGTACTTTTTCTACACAGAAAGAGTACATATTTTAAGGGCATAGTATAAGTAGGAGAACTGGGACGCAGCAACAACAACGGCCCATAGAAACAGCCGATAATGATGCATCTACGTATACATATCAATGCATGACAGTGCTTGTTTTGGTGCATTATGGGTAGTCAAACATGTTGTGCTCACCTATCATTTGAGACTGCACACTGAGGCTCCTCCTTGCTGACACCGCCTTGCTCTGTAGGATATGGCATCGCTGTGACTCCTCCTCCCATCACTCCCCCTTCTCCTCCTGTGACTCCTTCACCTCCACCTGTGACTCCTCCTGTGACTCCTCCCAGAGTGATGATGACTCCTGTGACTCCTCCCGGAGTGATGACTCCTCCTGTGACTCCTCCCGGAGTGATGACTCCTCCTGTGACTCCTCCCGGAGTGATGACTCCTCCTGTGACTCCTCCCGGAGTGATGACTCCTCCTGTGACTCCTCCCGGAGTGATGACTCCTCCTGTGACTCCTCCATTTTGCATTCCTCCATCCGAGGATGGGGAAGGGATATAGTCACAAGCTCTGGTTGTGTCAGTCCTGAATATGAGAAATACATAGATATAGCCTATAAAAAAAAACCTTGAGGTCGTCCTGTCAACTTATAGAGTTTCCTTTAAGTTCTTCAAATCGCGTTTGAAAGTATGAGTAGACAAACAACTGAGAGAACATTCTTGTCACCTGTATTTCTTCATGCTAACAGCGAAAAGCCAAGGCTACAATAGCTGATAATGCTCCACAATGATAGTGTTCTTTCAAGATGTTTAAAAGTACTGTAAGTCAAAGTTTCCTTATAAGACAAGAAGATGCAAAAAAAAACTTTGACAGCAAATGTTACAGTGTGCTACCTAAAAGCCTATTCACAAGGAGCATTAATATTCACCACATATTAAAAAACTATTTTTAACCATGTGTCCATGGCACACTAGATAGATTCAGAGCTCATCATCTGAATTAAAGAAATTAATAAAAAAAGCCACTGCCTGTCAGCAAAGTAAAAAAAAAAGTGTTTTACTTCTGTTATGTCACTTTGCTGCTTTGCTCTTGGTGTGAATAGGCCTTAAAGGGACAGTTCACCCATAAATAATCATTTCCTAATACCTAATGACATTCCAGAACTAAGATTTTCATATGATTTACACTGTTTCAAAAGTTTGGGGTTGGTAAGACTTTGTTTTATTCTGTTTTTAATTTTTGTATTTTAGTTTTTTAAATGTTGGTGGTCTATACACACTGTATTTGAATATATTTTAAAAGTAATTTATTCCTGTGATGCAAAGCTGAATTTTCAGCATAATTTCTCCAGTCTTCAGTGTCACATGATCCTCCAGAAATCATTCTATTCTTATTATTATTAATGTTGAAAAAAGCTGTGCTGTTAAATATATATATATATATATATATAAACAAACACTGAGACATTTATCAAAATATCTGCTTTCCCAAAATATATTTTGTGTAAAAGTATCATACCAGTTTGGATGAAAATGAGGATGAGTAAATGATCCCAGTATTTTCTTTTTCTTTTTTTGGGTGTCACCTGTTTGTGAGAAGTCATAGTGCCAGGGTTTTCAACCAGGGGTCCCTGAAGGTACTGCATGTGGGTTCTGTCTTCAAAACTCATTTGTAAATAATGAAAATGAGTATAATGCAGTAATGTTCTTGATGAAAGTTACTAGAAATTGTTATTGAGAAAATTCAGACAGTTAAACTGGTGACCCTGGGGTTGGCTGAGAGGTTCATGAGCACGTAAAGGTTGAAAACCCCTGCCATACTCCCATTTAACAGTACACTAGAGAGCATGACATCTACACAGCATGTCTGTCAAGCTTGGCAAGCATCGCAACTCGCCAGAATTCAAAATACTTTGCATATTTTCATGTTAAACTGCAATGAAAACCAAGTTTCTGGAGCGCCTCAAAGCTGTAAAGTGATTTGTTAGCTGACAGTTATAAAAATACAGCCCAATATTAAGAGATAAAAATACTGTTAGGTTTTGTCTTGGACTAAAATCTGACCAAATACCACATCCTTCAGTCAAAATAGATTAAACCGCTTTCAGACCTCCAGACTCTGAGCAAATCAAGCCATTAATTCTCTAATTTGGCATGCTGCATCAGCCTCTGTTTATACAGGTATATTTCTATTCTTAGTGTGCTCCTTGCCTTTGGTTGTTATTCAGTATCCACAATGGGGTGAGTTTGCTGTGACTGGAGGCCCACCTGCTGAGCAGGGGAGACAAACTCTGAGGCTGTTCACTTATCACTGTGTTTTCGGAGAGGGCAGAGGCCGGGCGGGAGTCCATTAGGGCCTCCTCCAGCATAAAGCTCCCACTGTGTACTCTAGGAGGAAGCTCAATGCTCACTGTGGTCTCGTCCAGATGGGGCGGCATAGGGGTGCTTCTGGGAGTGGACATGGCCGGTGTGGGAGGAGCATCACTGAAGACACTGTCACTCTGCCGTCAAGGGAAACACAATTAACTGTGGTTGCAGTGAGACTAATTACAAATGCCACCTGGTTACACTTTAATTTGTGATTTTTACAGTAAAATTATACAATTAAGTACTACTAATTAACACTGTGTACTGTGTATAATTATTATGTATATATAAATACACAAAACATTTAAAAAATATTTACATGTATATAAATATTTATATTTTATATATAAACAAAAAAAATTTCCTAAATATATGCATGCATGTGTGTGTATTTATATATACATAATAATTATACACAGTACACACACGTATATTATGTAAACAAAAACTTTTATTTAGGATGCGATTAATTGCAATTAATCATTTGACAGTACTAGTTAAAATAGAAAACCACAGTAAATAGTAATAATACTTTACAATATTACTGTTTTTTGCTCAAATAAACACATTATTGGTGTGCATGAAAGACCTTTTTCAAAAAATGTTACATTTTTGGCCCACAGTGTATATGAAACAAGGACACGAAAATAATACTGTTGGCACAACATCTTAAAGCGCACTGATTGTACTATTCCCACTGGATTTTTAATGTTAGATGCTGGGTGTTCTTACCCTGAAGAACTCCTCTTCTTCCATCATCTCCCCCTCCAGCCCTTCCTCATCCTCCATCGCTATAGCCAGCCGCATCTCTGGGGCCAGATCCTGCAGTGTGCGTAACCCGGCCTGGATCACACAAGATCAGAGTCAAACATGTGTTGTGTGTTTTTGCTGAGTATCATATTTGGCTCATAGTGTATGATATAGAGAGAATATGGAGCTCATACTTGAGGAGGAAAAAACATGCAAATCGGTGCAGTTGCTGATATTTATATGGCCAAAGAAATAGCTTGTAATATACTCAGAGGTTTTTATAACTATAAAAGACTACTTGCATAAAATGCATATAAATATCAGTTGTCACTCTGTATCTCCCAATAATGTCTAAGTAAAATGATATTTAAATCTCAAAAGATACGAACATCATCACAACATGCCACTGAAAAAAAGTATGCACTTTAAATAAGAAATAAGAAAGTTCATGCTGCCCAATTCAACTTTCTATGTCATACTTAATTTTGCTGTTAAATATTCTATATTATAAATATATTATTTCTGATCTGAAATAGTTATAATTCCAATGCATGCAAAACGGCCATTTGACAAGCAAGGCAACACATTCAGACAACTGTCATAATTCTTTACCTGGAGAGAGGCTGACTTGTCCTTGCCTTTCTTCTTCCTCTCTTTCTCCTTTCGCTTGCGAAATTTTTTGAAGTAGTCCTGAATCAGGAAGCTGGCATAGAACTTTCCTGCAGTCACCTCATTCCCTAAAACGCAGAGAGATGGATTTTTAAAAAAGACAAAAAAAA